AACAGAGTAGGCCAGCACCATCTGAACATTCTGCTCTTCTACAGTACAATAAATACGTCATCAAATAACAGCTTGAAATATCATTCAAGTTTAAAGAATTGCCCCATGCCAATATATTTAATCAAATATTTGGCAATTCCAATATAAATACATCATCATCATGAATCTATCGTTTCAAATACTTAGTCTGACACTAGGAAGCAATAAAAAATGAAGAAATTTTAGATCAGCAAAGCTGTAGACAAAAATTACTTATTACAGAAACATCCCAACTCTGAAATCTCATCTGTTTAGTCAACATGACAACTTCAGTTTGGACTGAATATAGCTATATAATCTGATCCATTAACTCCAGATAAGAAAACAGTGTTACAGACTGTTTTCTTATCTGTTTTCTTAATGTCCTAACTAGACAAAATATCCTAAATACTGTCTTAACTTTAGGACAAAGTTGGCAGCCAAAGTTTTGGGAAATGGAAACTGAAACTGGAGAACAGTGATGCTCCGATAAAGAGCGCAGAGGACTGTCACAATATTTTTACCTTTCAGTTTATTGCACTTTAGTTGTGTCTTAATCGTTTTTTTACATCTGTGATGGTAGCTGTCCAGCTAACTAACTTTTAATTTTTTATTTATTTATTTTTTTAAAACTATTTTTATTTTTTTTATATATATTTTTAACATTGTTTTGATTGCCTGTTTACATTCCAGCTGTGTGTTCTGTCGGTTGCTTGTTAACAGATAACAAATGATTATCGATCGAGTAGTTTATGACTTCCTTGAGAAAAGATAAAACAAGATCAAATTAAAATAAAAAATTTATATTAAAATAAAATTTGCTTCTGTAAAACATATATGTGAAAAATATTATATTATCCTGACCCTGTCAGATCTTAACTTAGGACTAAACATAGGAAGTATCTGCTCTAAGACCCCAAAATTAAACATTTCAAACATGGAACCAAATCTCAAAGCAGATAACCGAACAAAAAGAATTAAATTCATAATCAGGATATATTATGTACCAGTTTGCCTGTTTGTTCTTCATAGAATTCGTTCAATATTTAATATAATTCCTGAACAAAGTAAAACTCTATGTAATATATAAATCCACATTGTTTAATTTATATTAAATAGAATGTATTAATTTGGCAAATGATTCCGCCCTATGGAATGGTTACGTATAGAGAAATAAAAGAGACCCCCAAGGGAATAAAAAAAAAATAATAATAATAATTCCTTCATTCTGCAACTGAAAACGTTTCAAGTCTGCTTTTCACATTTTATTGTCTTGTAAAAAAACCATCTGTCTGCATTACTTCTGCTTCACCAGGTCCTGTAGTCTTCTTTTGGAAATTGGACTTTTATGAAGACCAATAATAATAAAATAAACTTCTTTTTTATTTCTGTATTAAAATCGTACCACGTCATGGTGCAAAAAACCCAAGATACATTTAGTCTCATGAAATTTGTGTATTGTTACACCCTTACCCAGCATAGGTGACTAACTCAACACCCCCCCCAAGACACCTCACACAGTGAGAGACCAAGGGGGGCTTCTCTGCATGCCTTCATTTACTGTAAACCTCAGTAATAACACTTGAATTCTGACCACAGCAAGTTTCTTTTCCATTACCCCATCACTGCCCCACCGAGAGAGCTCACCCCTCCCCACCCTGCGTCCTGGAATCGACGTTTTGTGAGCATAATTCTGCCTAAAGGTATTAGCGCGAACAATCGGAATAGCTGCAGCGGCGTCAGCACATGCAGACGCAGAAATGACGTTCATTAGCACGCTTGGTTTTGTGGTGAAGCTGATTTATGTTTCTGCAACAAAGGGATTCCTCGGAAAGCCGCCCACTCTGGAGACAGCGAGAAAGTGACAGAACAACAGCATAGCAGAATAACAAAAGGTGCTCCCCACTTTTAGAGCCCCACTTTCCATCACCCCACTTTGAGGAGGAGGAGGAGGTCTGCGGTGACTGAGTCAGAATGAAAAGAAGAAAAACACCTACAGAGTTCAGGACTCGTGTCTGTTGTGATGTCTGCAAGCTCTGAAATATCTGCTTTCCACCTGGGAGAAATGCCTTTTGGTGAACTGATCCACCCACATGAGGGGGGAAGAAAGAGAAAAGACAGAAAGAGAAAGAGAATAAGAGCGAGAGAGAGAGAGAGGGAGGAGATCCCTTAGTTTCACTTTCAGAGTGACTTACGACGATGATGATGATGAGACTCTGACATTTAAATGTTATCCTGATACGATCTGCTCTTTGTGTGCTTGTTTTTATTCCCTCCAATAAAAGAGATCGGGATTGTGCTGAAGTGCGTGCGGGAGGGGGGTACCTGGAAGAGGCGCGTGAAAATGTCGAACTCGAAGACGGAAATGTAGTCGTTGCAGGTGAGGTCGATGGTGGACTTGAGGGCCATGGCCTCCAGGCCTGAACTGATGGGATGCACTTCGTGAAGGCACTGACGGAACACTTTCCACGGCACGATCGTCCTGAAACACAGACAGACAGAAAGAAAGAAGACGTGCTTTATTTAGCGGCTTCCAGACATTTTGCTGAAAGGCACGTTCTGTGAAGAAGGAAATGACAAAACGGAGAACGAGGGAGTGACAGAGACAGAGAGAAAGACAAAAACGTCTCTCCCACACACTCAGCTCTCTTCTCTTCTCTTCTCTTCTCAACACAGTCTAACATTCATGCACACCCACAAACAGAAGTGTCAGGCGAAGTGTGAGAACAGGGAACACTCAGAGACCAGCCTAGAGCCTGCAGAGCAAAGAGAACAGGCAACCTGACATGCACTGCTGAAAACAGAGACATGACCAGCCATACAAAGAGCTAAAACACCCTACAGTAAAAGGGTAACATGATCTCCATTAAGAATGCTCAATTTTGGGCGGTAATAACGATAATGAGCGTTGTAGGTCTCCAGTCCAGCCTCAAGAGCTTAAATGAACAGTTTCAGTCTTGTCTCGGTCTCAGGTTAGGGTGGACCAGCTGAGTGCGATGCTTCCCTCTGAAGTGACTGGAAACTGAACTTTTTTCTGAACTTCTGTCATTATTGAATATAAACAACACCTTCAAACAGAACTAGAAAAGTGTTTATACTTCATCAGAAGCAACGAATACTGTTTATGAAACTTCATGCATGAGAATATAACACCACTTTGTTTATTGTAGGGACAACCACAATCCAAGTTTATTCAACTTTATACATAAGCTTTTAATCGCACAGAAATAACCGCAATCGATTATTATAATGGTTATTATCCCACCCCAACTGTCTGCATTGACCTTCTGTAGAAATATTAATGTATTTAGTGTATTTTTTTTTAAAATAGCCCTTGGTCAGGGGCTCCTGAGTGGCACAACCCTCTGTGCATTGGCTCTGGCGGAAGGAGATTCAATCTACAGCGATGCCACAGCCATCTGTAAAAGAATTGGCAGTTAGTGTTCTCCTCCAAGCGTGTTGAGTTGCCTAACGCTGTATTAGAAGTACGCTGAGAAGATGCAGTGGCACTTCACAAGACTCAGAGGAAGCACGTGCTAGCCTTTACCCTCTTAGCTGGGCGGCATCATGTGACAGGAGATCTAGCTAGCGAATGGAATTGGACATGATGGAATTTAAAACTTATCAAAAACTCGAATCAATCCAAAATAATGAAAGCTAATTGAGGTGAAATCTGTTGTGATGTCAGTGACGTGCACCCCTAGTGACAGTCGGTAACACTTTACTGTAGGGTACAGTTCATAAGTCTACATGACACCTACATAAGCTTGTCATGACAACTGACACAGACCTACATAAATGTTTATTAATGCTTATTCCAATAGACGTCATCTGTCAGAAAAGCTACTTCAGCTAACTTTGGCAAATGCAACCTTTATAGCCAATGACGCCTATTACAATGAGCATTTATAAACATTATGTAGGGTTATATCAGTTGTCATGACAAGCTTATGTAAGTGTCATGTAGCCTTATGAACCGTACCCTACAGTAAAGTGTTACCGAACAGTCTGACAGCATTTTAGACTGTTAGTGAATGCAGTGAGTGAGTCTGTGATGTAAAATGATCTGACTGTCAGGTAAAGCCGTTCACACTGCAGCAGCAGCAGCATTCGATTCTCTAATCTCTCTCAGTGCAGGGCAGCGCTAGCACACACTGGTTTCATCACCCACCAAAAGCTCCAAAAAGGGGCTTAACGCATACACTCACACACACACATACAAATGTTTTGCTGCCATGCCAGCTCTGGGATTAACTCTGATTAGCAGCCATTAAATACCTAAACTCCTCACTGAGCACATCCATCACACAACTCTGCACACATACACGGCACAATGGCTCAAGTGCTTCATGCTTTTATAGAGTTTTCACAAGTTTTAAAGCCAGAACAGGCCGTTAGATGGAATCACTGCCTTAAATGCGTGGCTAACACCATCCTGACCTACCAGCACTGAACTGTGTGCGTTCAGCAAAAGATGCTAACAGACTTTCTCAGAGCGGAAACCGGCTCCTCTGTTTTTGAGGCAGAAAAAGTGGAACAGGCCTCAGTCAGCAGTGCAGGCAGATATAGTAAAAGGATCTGAAAGTGCTTATGTGAGCTCTGGAGCTGGTTATTTCCCCTCGTCCATCCCCCCTCCCCCCGACTCAGACGCCCCCGGGGCCTGCAGAAGGCCGCGGCCAGCAGGGAGGAGAGAGCTAGAAGAAATGTTTCATCGTAATATTTCAGCTTAAAAGAAAAAGCTCATCAAAAACATCAAATTTACACAATTTTCCCCATATCGCAAATGTAGTCAATCAGCAAAGGCAAAGTTTGATTTCGAATGTTTGCTTCACTTGCGGCAAACCACGGCCAGTTGTTAAGTAATCTCAAACAGACTCATGCAGCTTATGCCCTTTGTAAAAATGGACAAATGTACAGAGAAAATTCATCCACCCTTTCACTGAACACCTTCGATGCAGGTTTCCCTCTCAGAAATGTGACTTGAATTATGTCTCCTATCAAAAATAAAAATACATGCTATAACATTTTTAAATTATTTTGTCTGTTTTGTTTTGGCAGAGGTTATGTGTATACTGTTTTTTTAACTTTGCCTTTTTGGTTTGGTTTTGGTTTCTTTATTGTGGGGTGGATTTTTGGTGTGTAAATATATCTTAAATATACATAAAGATTTGCAGAAAATTAAATTAGAATTGAACAATATATTAAGAAAAAAAAACAGCTGTTTTGATAAGACCCATACTGTGTCTCAATAAATGCATTCTTTTATTTACATTTATTTGCCTCAACCCAACTGATGAAAAGGCACCCAAATCACATTCTATGTAATGACTGTATCGCAACTGTGTGATGATGTATGCAGTCTGCCCAGCGCTAAACAAGCTTGCATTACTTGTTAGCTCCATTAGCTTCGAAGTCCCAGTGCAACAGGTGAAGCACTCTTGGGACAAGTTTCTTGTCTGAGACTATATTTGGGTTAAAGGGACCTGAGTCGCTCTCAGTCTACATCTGAAACAGTAGGGGTGCAACGATGAATCGACTTAGTTGACTAAAACTGACGGCCAGGAGGTTAGGGAACCAGCCCTGTGACCGGATGGTTGCCGGTTCGATCTCCTCGGCTGACAGTCAATGACTGAAGTGCCCTTGAGCAAGGCACCTAACCCCCAACTGCTCCCCGGGCGCCATGGATAGGGCTGCCCACTGCTCCGGGCAAGTGTGCTCACTGCCCCCTAGTGTGTGTGTTCACTAGTGTGCATGTATGTGGGTGTTTCACTGCACGGATGGGTTAAATGCAGAGGTCTAATTCCACCGTGTGCAAACACAGACGGCTGATGGTCCTGAATTCAATTCAATTCAATTCAAAGGAGCACATCCTCCATGTTGGAGCATCTGAAGAGGAAATACATCGGCTCACTGGATGAAGAAGAAGCCTCTTGGTAAGACAGGTGTGCTAGCTAGCTAATATTAATGTTAAAAACTGTCCTCCTTCATGTTATAAGCCGGAACACCTATTTCGTAATACACGTTCTCTTGAATCGTTAATGGGGTTGGAACTCTTATTCATAACGACCCATCGATTCAGTCGTCTTAACGTCGAGACCACCGGTGCATTCAAATTCGGCGAACATATGAGAACGTTTGCCAACAGTTCTCTCAAGCTAAATTTCAAATCTGACAACTACATAAGAGTTATTTTGTAATTGAGCGATTCTTAATCGGAATAATCGATTATTTGTTTCAATAATCGATAAATAATTAGACTATCAAAACAGTCATTTGTTACCACTCTACTCAGCAGCCACAGCAGTTAGGGAGACTGGGTTAAAAGTGGCAGTATGAGATATCTACCACAGCAGAGAAGAGGAAAGAAGAGAGTAAAGGCTATTTCTAGAGGCCAGCTCAGAGACGGGCAGGTGATGAGAAGATGAGATCTTTAATTAAATTGATTAGAGCAGCTGACCCCCTAATTAGAAGGGGCGGTTTAATGAATGCGTCTCGGAGCAGAGGACGCAAACACACTCCCAAAGACAAACGTACACAAACACCGAGCAGCCGTCACCGACAATTACTGAACAGGTGGAGGACAGAGTCAGGCTGCGGCCGTCCAGACAGACAGAGACAAAGACAGAAACAGACAGAGACAGAGAGAGAGACACGAGACCACTCAGGATTCCAGACAGTCTATCATAATATAATACACAGGCAAGCTCATTTTTCTACTTCTGGTCAGTTCAGGTCAGCTGTGTTCCAACACAATGGGGCTAAATATGCATTTAAGCTCTCATGATTCATGATGGATTCTTTAATAAAGGCAATGATTATATACAGAACTATGACAACTCAAAGAACTTAATGAATGCATTGTTAAATGGTCTCTGTTGATGATTACTGTATATCGCTGTATATGTATATGGTTGTATATGGTTATTTAAATAATGATTCTTTAAAAAAAATGATTCTATATGGCACCAAAAATGGTTCCCTTACTTTACCACTCTACTATCTACTACAGAATCTTTTGTTAGTGGTATGTAACCCTTTCTTTACCAAGGATGTTACAGTTTTGCACTGGTAACAGTCTTATGGTGGCGATTCAAGTACATCAATTTTGGAATGTCATGATTGATTATAATTAATATTCAAGACAGTACAGTCCCATGCGAAAGTCAGAGAACACATTACAATTACTGTATTTCCAGTCTAAATGACCACAAGCGGTGCAATAAGTGTTGGCCCTCTCTTATCAGTGATCACAAGTTTGATCCCTGGTAAAGCTACAGCCATCGGTGACCAGGAGTCCTAGAGAGCACAACAGGGGTCTCACTCTGTCTGAGCGGGCAGGATGGCCCTCACCCTCCCCCGGCACCTAGTGCAATGTTAGCCAGCTTGATGTAACAGAACTGTAAGCTGACGTTACATTACTGCCATCTCCTCTGAGTATGTTCAGGTGTCCAGCAACGCTGGATGGAACTAAATTGGGAAGTA